CAAAAAGGCAAACATATCACAGCTGGAGGGATTGGGGGGAAGCAAAGTAAGAGGACATACATAGTTTGACAGAAACTGAGGTCATAGAAATGATGACAAAGGAACAATAGAAAAGCACTGCCATGTAAGATCCCTTGCAGATAGGCAACTGAAGATCCATACTGCTGATTTCTGAGCCCTTAGCCTTCAATGTAAATAAAAAACCTAATGAAAATCAATGGCTTTTGACCAGTCTCCCAATAGGAAAGGCCTAAGGAACTCTTCCAAAGTCACTGTCAGATAACCTTGAATACTAAAATACATGCTAGAGTTGGGGAATCTGTTTGTATCCTACAATCATATCTTTTTCTGTTACTTTTATTAGGTTTTGGTGACATTTAATACTTCAGAATGCCTAAGAACCAAGCATCTTTTTCCTGTTCAGTCAGACCTCAGATTAAATAATCTGTGGACAAAGTAACTTAAAATTACAAGGAAAATATTCAGACATCAAGGAAATGCCCTAAAAGAAAACACAACAAAGAGCAAGACATGCAAATGACATACAAAAGACATATGAATCAAAACTTGATCACTGGAGATCATCAAAACCAGGGCTGACAACTCTCTGGCAAGGGCACTATAATAGAAAATGCTGCAGGAAAAGCAAATGGCTTAGAGTAAACCAGAAGCATTTTCCAACTCTAACCACTGGTGAATTAATCCATTCAGCCCCTACATCCCCCTGACTACTCACATCTGTAAAGGACTGTTCTTCCACACAAGAAATACTGTTCAAAGGGGCCAGTCTTCGCAATATTAACTCAGTTATACAGTTATATTCTTTGCAAATCACCATTAGGCTTTGGAAGTGGATTTTTATTTCATAGGCATTAAATCTTAAACTCATAAAAATACCTCCTTCTCCCTTTTCATTAACATAGATAGACTCTGCCATTTTGGCTAACCACAGAATATCAAAAGTTAAGAGCCTCAACAAAGCTACCAATGCATGAGACTGAGGCAGAGATGATGCTTTATTGGTCAAATACTTTTAAGGTGTAGTCAAAATTCTCAAGAGTTAAAGCCAACAATAGTGAAAATTTTGAATTTCGCAAACAACCAAAAGGAACTGAAAGCAAACCCAGTACATTTCTCCAGCAACTCAGCAGCAGCAAAGTAACTCCTCAACTGGCACTTCTGAATCTGGACACATCTCTGGGGAACAGCATGAAAGTTGAATTACAATACTTGAGTACTTCCGGAAAAAATTCAATGCTATTCATCCCTCATAGTAACACTAACATGTCCCGTATCATCTGTAAACCACTCTTTCTCCGCATACAGCAAATTGACATGCTTTCATTTTTTTTCCAGAAGTGCTACAGGAAGCATTTAAGTACACAATGCCTCCCACAACCAAGCAGTTTTTGAAGACTTCTACCCAGAGTACGGATCACAGAATGGCAAGGGTTGGAAGAGACCTTGGGAGACCATCTAGTCCAACCACCTTGCTAAAGCAGGTTCTCCTAGAGCATGCTACACAGGACTTCATCCAGGTGGGCTTTGAATATCTCCAGAGAAGGAGACTCCACAACCTCCCTGGGCAGCCTGTGCCAGTGCTCTGTCACCCTCAAGAGTAAAGAAGTTTTTCCTCATGTTCAACTGAAGCCTCTTATGTTTCAGTTTGTACCCATTGCCCCTTGTTCTGTCGCTGGACACCACTGTAAAGAGACTGGTTCCATCCTCGTGACTTCCGCCCTCAAGATATTTGTATGTATTGATGAGGTCCCCTCTCAGTCTTCTCTTCTTCAGGCTAAACAAGCCCAACTCTCTCAGCCTTTCCTCGTAGGGGAGATGCTCCAGTCCCTTTATCATCCTAGTTGCTCTCCTCTGGAGTCTTTCCTTTGACCTCTTAATATACACCTGGAACAGGGATGACCTCATGATTAAAGTCTCTCTTTGCCTAAAAATCACTGGTAGTCTTACTTGAAAAAACTAGAAGATCCACACTTCTGTAACTGAAAATACAACTGACACCGCTTTGTCCCCTTATTGGCTGTTTCATCAGAGGCCAATGAAGAGCCATGAGAAAAGAAACATCACCTTAGATCACCAACATCTCCTAGACATTTATCAGTCCAAATCAGGTTTGAGGCACAATGGCAGATCAACGGACTTAGAAGAATGGGGGTAGAGAATGGGAATCAGGATGGATTTACATTATCGTGCCCAAGAGACTTCCATTCTGTTGGATTGAGAATTTCAGTCTCCATGTTCATCTATCAAGCAGAAGACACTGTACTTCCATTTAGATAAGCCCTTTTTTGGATTTATTTCTTGCCATCTTCATAGCTTAAAATGCAAGATCAAATTTTACAGTAAAAAAAGTTGTAGATGTGACAATTTGTGATCTTAGTGAGATACAACACTTGTCATCTTAGGTGAAAGCTGCTCAGATACATCTCACTTGTGATCAACAAAACCAGCCTCTGAAAATAAGAGTGCAAGATGAAATCCAATCCAGGAATCAGAGGAAATTTCATGTGCTAACAGTCTCAACTAACCTATCTTTCAGAAGATTCTAATCTCAAAAATATGGTTATATATCGCCGCCTACCTCCAAAACTCCGCCACTATGTCTGTGTGCGCAAGCGCTGTGATGACTTTTTCAAGATATACTGCACACCCACTATAAGAATCTGAATCCATATGTTACTGTTTCTGTTCACCTCTATGTAACACTGTGCTTGGCCTCAGAATTTCACGCCTTTAGTGGAAGTGTTTTTCTAAACTTGGAATATTGTGACTACACCATCTGATAATCAGAATCTGTTATGAATTGTTAATTATGATCAATAATTCAAGCTTTGCATATAATTGTAATACAGTTAACTGCGTAAAAAGGCAACAGAAAAACAGAATAGTTAATTTTCACAAGCCTTATTGAAAGACGACTTGCTAGCCACTTCAAGGCTTTTTTATTTCTTTTTGATTGTCTAAGGCAAAGCATAAAATTGAAGAGTAGTGCCAAACAGACGTCTTGCATTCTACATGGAAACTGCATTAAATTCACAAAGTGTAGAAGGCAGGAAAGAAATGAAATCTCAGATCAAAGGGAATGGAAACTACTGCATCTAGGTAAATTGTCATTAAAAATGTTAAGGAAGAAAAGGATAAGCCTACTTCAGTGTTGTGTGGAACATGTGCTACTACCAAAGGCAGAAAGGCAGTGCCACTACCAGACAGGATCAAAACTTGCCGAGTGCCCGGTTTGACTTACTGGATAGCCATGATATAACTGAAAGGAGAATCTAATTCAAATTCAGAGAAAGCAAAAACTGAAATACTGCGATAACAGACATGAAAAACACCCCCATAAGACAACCCTCCCCTAAAGTTTTAAACAATGACTAGCAACCACACAGCATTTCACAACATCACACGAGACAAGTACAAAGGTTCCCAACAATTATTCTCATTTATTCTTTCCTTCTACAATACGTAGAGATTTTATAGGCATGACATGCAAACGAACTACAGTCTCTGTTTACAGTAATTTCATCCTCAGCTCTGTATCTTAGATAGCTCCCTCTCCTTTTGGCCCATGTCACCTGGTTCACTAGGACTGACTGCCATTGTTCAGCTACCAGCTGAACTGCAGCTAAGTAGCTCTTGAGTTAGCTGTAGAAATGGTGGTACTTTAATACCAGAGCTTAGCAGAGCAACCAGCCAGACTAAATAAATAAATAAAGAAATAAGCATGGTGTTCTAACAGATAATATAAATACACTTTCAGCAAATTGCTTGGGTCCAAAGGTCAGTCAATTTGTTTGCTCTGTCTCCAAGAATTTGTAAATCTCAACATGATGTTTAAACACAAGCATATGCAAACATCAAAGTTCAATGCTGACATATTTTACACCTAAAGTTGTATGCCAGAACAGCTCTATACCACACATAGAAAACTGTAGTGCATGCCTAAGGAAGTGACAAAACACTATCCCAAACTAAATGCAAATTTTTCTTTAAATATCCTCTCATTCTGTATTTTTCATCATCTTCATTCACTCTCATTCATCCTCTCTCACATGGAGAAGTATTTATGCAGCTGTCTAATTTCACAATTCCTCCCTTTCATTACCCATAAAGGGGGAGATGGAACTTTAAATCTCAAGCCTGGCTACAGGGGGTGTGGGGGTTTTGTATTCCTGATTGATTCACACCTGTACTTATGAAAACACAAAGTTTCAAGGTAAACTACCAGCTCCTGAGCTAGAGAAGGGACACACCAGCTACGCTGGCATTTCTGGGCTGTTGTGCAGGCAGTCCAGTCTCTCAACCTCTTTCCCAAAGGAGACGGGCAGACAGTCTCACAGCTCCTACCCACGTTGTGCTTTTCTTTTTCATTCATCTTACCTTTGAACAGCTCTGGGCTGGCAAAAAGCAAAATGCAAGGGACTTCAGAAAGCACAAGGCATTCATTTCGCAAAATGGAAAACCGTCAGGGTGAAACCTAACTCTTCTCCCCACTTCCCCGAGAGAAGGCGTTATTAGGGCGGAGAGCCAGAGCCCCCCTGCACACACCGTTTGCCCCTTCCCGTGCTCAGCCCCTCTCCCGGAAGGCAAGCGAGCACAAGCGAGCATGGGGCTGGCAGAGCTCTGCTCTCCTCTCCTCTCCCCGCCGCAGGGAGCCCAGGCGGGAGCGAAACCCCCTCCTTTGTCAGCAGAGGAGCATTCACGAGGGGGCCCCTTTCCCACCTTCACGTTTTCTTAGATGAGATGGGGAGAGACGGGATGCAGGGAAGGAGGGAGCAGGCAACTTCTGAAATGTAAGTCACCGCAATGGCTCAGCACGCCAGGGTTTTGCAAAATTAGTGCCCCTTCTCCCCTCCCACCTTTTCAAAGCGATCCCATCAATCCCACCTAGAGGTGAGGGAAAAGGCTTTTAAGTCTCCGAGCCGGGGGATTCCCCAGTAGAGCAGCAGGTGGGAGCTTCCCCCCCTCCCCTCCGTGCTCACCTTCCTGGCTCCTCGCTTGGCGAACTCCCTGGCCAGATGGCGACCGATGCCTCTGCCCCCGCCGGTGATGAGCACGTTGTCCCCGGACAGGTCCCGGAGCTTGGGCGGCAGCACCGTGCACACGGCAGCTTTCACCACCAAATAAACCATCTGCAGGGGAAAAAGCAGCAAAGCGCCCAGCCACTTCCAAATCATCCTCTTGTTCCAGGCAAGTCAGGAGGGCAAAATTCTCTTCCACCCCTTCACAAAACCAAGTTAACAGAGAAAGAAAACCAATACCCTTCATGCACCCCCAGATGGGTGACAAGTCTTCAACCCCCTTCCAAAACTTGGGGGCCAGAGATTCTTGGACTGGAAAAAATCCTTCTCTCCCCCTAAAAAAATTGGGGTAGGAGTAAAGTAGTGCAGAAGACCAAGTCACTCCCCTGTTTCTTGATCGGTGTCCTCTGGGGTTGTCACATGCAGGTAAAACGGTTTCCTTGCTTTTTAACTGGAAGACAGTTTTTTTAAATTAAAAGAGAGAAAAAAAAGTAAAATTAAAAGTAACCATACATCCCTCCGCTTGAAAGACCGACACAAAAATCCAGTATCCAAGTGGAAGGTTTTTATACTTGGAAAAATAAAATAAAGCAGCCTATGTCTCCAAATTTCAGCCTGCAGTGCCTTCCAGGCAGCTCATTTCTATTCTTAGACTCAGGAAATTGCTTAAATAAGACAGAATTGCCAGGACCTTCTTTTTAAGAAAGGCTCTATTCAGGGTAAGGTTGTTGGTTTTGTTTTAATAGCTATAAATATCTATAGACGTTCTGTCCTGAGCCGGTTGCAAAGGTTGAGCTGATAACCGCCTCTCTCTGCCCCCTCTCCTGGGTTTTTTTCACTTGGAGTATCTGTGATCACAGAGCAGGAATTACGCCGTACACTATTTCAGCTCTGGCTCTCACTCATTTCTCCCTATTGCTCTCTCTGCCTATCACAGCCGCGGCGCTGGGGAGTTTTTATACCCCATTAAGCCTGATTGACAGTTAAAGTGTTGGGGAGATTTCACTACTGTTTCTGTGAGTGGCTGGCTTTGCTCTCCCCTCCCCCGAGCTATCTGGGAGCCACTGCACACCAGCTCACCCGTGCACACGCAGGCTGAGGCGGACGCTCGCTCCGGAGCTGCAGCCGGCAAGTCGGGGCTTGCTGCCTGCCACGTTGGGCTCGCAGCTCTGAGTGTGCCCTGCAAGCCCGCCGGGCAACCCCCGCCTCCTCCCTAACGTACCCTCACCAGCCAGAAGGTGCGGTGGGCTGACCTGAGCCCACGAAAAAGCAGTTCCAGGAAGAGTCAGGGTTAAGGCTGAGTTCAAGGGAGCCATCTCTGCCTTCCAGAGCTCTGGCAGAGAACTGCTTGCCCAAGATAAGCTGGTGTGGACCGGAAAACTTCTTTTGGCCCTAGATTGCCAGGCTGAATCCAGCCTACACTGATAATCATAAAAATCTATAACCATTGGAACAGTGGTTTTTATGAACAACGTGACAACTCATGGATTTTCCAAGCTGGAAGATGCTTGCATTGCTGAAAACGGATGATTTAGTAGCGGGGCAATAAAAAAGGCAGGCTCTGAATGAGGGAGGGAGACTCACTTTTCCCCAGCAAAGGGTGGGGTTTTTTTCTCCCCTTTTCCAAGACTTCTTTTTTTTTTTTTTTGTCCGGCTATGAGGGCATAGTTGCAACACCAGAAGGTCTCCATAGCACTTTAAACTATGCTGTAACAGGAGAAGGGGCAAAGTGTAGTGTAACTAGGTCCCCCAACGTGGTTGCCTGAGCTGTTAAGCATTAAGCAGGTAAGTTATGTTTTCAGTTGTACTGATTAAGCACATCTGAGGAGGATCTCACCGCACATTTCAACGGAGAGCTGTTCACGCAGTTAGTATTTGTGGCAGCAATCAGAACTAATCTACTATGCAAAGCTTTGAGGATGTCAAAAGATGCTCAGGGATGTCAAACCTCACACTGATGTCTTCACAGCTGAGCTGGAAAGAACTTCGGTTTTATGACTGTGTATATCATTAAGGGTGCCAAAATGAAGCCAATCCCACACGTTAACTCAGGAGCTCTGGATGCTATATCCACTATCCTGGGAAGCCATCTAGTGGTAAAAACTAGAATTACTGGAAAATGACATTTGAAAGACCTCAAACTTCTTAACATCTATAGTTACTAAATCACCACTGCAATGGAAGTGTATGAGTCTAAGCATCTATACATAGGTAGGCAAGTTATATTACACAATCAATAGAAGTGAGTTAGGAAGCTGAATCCCTTTGAAAATAAATTCAAACCACAGAGTGTTACAGGGTTATTTGTTTGCAAAAAAAAGAGCAATCAAGTTTCTGGTGCCAGCCACATTTAAATCCTGTATCACACATAGTTTTTTTAACACAAAAGATGAACAATATCTAAATCCTTGAATTTCAGCTCTGTTACAAGTTCCACCAAAGTTTTCAGAAAAAAAAAAAAGAAAATAAAATTCAGAGAGAAACTTGCAGAGTTCTTATCTTTAAATGCCAGGTTACCTCATATGAAATAAGCCATGTGACTACCACTGCATCATGATAAAATGTCAGGAAAGAGGTTTTTGGAGAGAAGAAGATGAAGCATTCTAACCGGAAACTGTAAGTCTGTACATATGGTCAGAATCCCTAACTTAGCTGCATCTGAAATAACCAGAGCTCAGAGAATTTCCATTGCCGCTTGGCAGCATTTAGCACCTCTGTGTGTTTTTACAGTAATACCTTTAGAAATGGAGCTAGGGGAGGCACCTGGCATTACAATTTTCCTCTCAGCCCAAAAACTCTGAAGGGGAGAGAGAAATTACACAGAGAGCCTAGTGTCTGGTTTAAACAAGAATGACTCAGTGTCTGGACTGGTAACAAATATAACAACTTTCTGGTAGGGAAATAAGGAGCAGTGTTAAAAATGAAAGGATATGAAGTTCATTGAAAGAAATTTGATTTTTTGACTCCTGAGTTCAGTCTCTTTATGCATAAATCACCACAGACACATTAAAATAGAAAAGTCAGCAATACTACACTACTGTTCAGATTAAAAATGAAATTAATTATTAATTTAAAACATTTGCAGGTTCGTTGAAGCCAGTGGGAGTAGAATAATTTGTGAATATTGATTTCATGTATCTGTTTCCAGCTTCAATAATATTCTAAAATGTATTGGAAGTGGTTTTTTTCATTCAATTGTGGTTTATTGATTTATGTGCAAAGTTGCTACCAAACTTGGAGTGGGAGTAAAAAGACAGTTCTAGATATTTAAAATATTCCTAAGCTGCTCTTTGAATTTCATGAAAGTATGAACTATTTTACTTCTTTACTACTTTACTTTAGATTTACCTTGAAGCAGTGAAAACCAGTAGTTGCTTCACTGTACAAATGTACAAAAGCAAGAAGCAAAAGCAGACTTACAGTAAAACTGAAGTTACGGCATCTTGCCTGTAATAAATATGGTGAAAAATATATGCAACTTATTTTAAAATTCACCTAATTCAACCAAAAAGTCAAATAGCTGTAAATTCTACATGTACTAGATAGAACACTGAGAACAGCTGAGGCTCGTCCCTTTTAGTTGCAGTTCCACTCTGAGAAGTCGCAAAAAAAGTAGTATTCTGAGTAGTAACCTTCTACTCAGAAATCCTTAACCAGTGCACTGGAGCATGCAGAAAGCAGGCCTGTTAGTTTTGTAAAATTGCATCAGTTGCTAATGCTATCACTTAGTTGCAGAATTAATTTTGCATTTTGGATAGTTGCACAGTACTGAACTATTTGTTCCCCATACAGACACTCACAACAAAGTATAAATTGAAAAAAAAAAACCCAAACTTGGTTTAAGCCATTTTCATGGCACTTTAGACTATGTTTTATTCCAGTCTGCAACAAGAGCAAGGAGGTAGTCATGTAATGTGTCCCAGCAATAACTCATACAGTTTCAGCTTCTGCTTGTCTGTGTAAATTTCTGGGTTTGTACTTCTTAACAGAAGTGTAAAGGAAGATGGCTTTAATACAGTTTTATGAATCTATTCTGAATTAATAGGTTTAGCTTTCAATCATCCCTGAATGACCCACTCCTGGGACCATAGCTCAAAAGATGCATTTATGCTTTCTGAATATTTAACCACAATAATACCTAACTCTAATAGTCCAGCTTAAAACTAAACCTGTTGTTCATATTTAGGGTAGCTAATGTAAAGGTAGGTTAGGAAGGCCTATGGTAACTGAAACCCAGTTTTTGGATTGTATTAGTGCAGATTTACTCATACTCTCAATAAGAGTCATAGAAATCTACTTTTTCTTACTTGCCTTGTTTTGAAGAAATAAATAGCAGTGAAAAAGCAACTTTTGCCTCCAAAACAAGTTGATACATTCTTTATATACATCACTTGCATAGCAAAGGTCCATTTTTGCAGAACAGTGTTACATGGATCTGTGAAGAGGCTCAGGTAGAGTGTCTTGATGTTGCACCTAGATATATTGGCAGAACTCTAAATTTGTTCATAGAGCCTTTGCAGGCAAATTCCTAGCAAACTTGGAAGTCCATTCATGCAAATGAAGTTGCTAAACTGCAAAAACTTTTGAAAGGAAAAGGAGCTGAAAATTAAAAAGCATGCTGAAGGCATGTCTGAAAGCCATTTGGACTAACAATTCTGTGTTTTCAACTTAAAAAAACCCACCCAAATATATACAGTACATTGGTAAGCAGATGTGAAAAAAACTGGGAACACAGAACAGCACTGTTACACAATGGAAAGTCTGTTACTAGAGTGTCAAGTAATACCAGTTTTTTACATCAGTGCAGGGTTCTTGACCATGGACAATCTATCATGATCACAGACTAAACCTCCTTTAAAAAAGGAAAACCTTTTGCCAAGCTGATCTGTTTCTTGTTACATGAAGTACTGCTGTCAGATTTGGATAAATCAAGGGCTAAATTTTTGTGCTTCTTGATTTCATTCTTCCCTTGAGTTCACATTTTCCATTTGAAATGTGTCCCAGTGGTTCTATGATTTCACACTGTCCTTCTATATGCTATTAAGTATTAAGAGTCTGATACTGTTGCCTTGTAAGTGGAGTTTTGCCATGGACTAAGCTCAAAGGGACCAGGTTTCTGTTTAACTTCCAGCCTTGACAGAAAACAGTCTGTGTCCAGCCTTATGTGAAAAGCTACATTTGCATGTCTTACTGCTTTCCCAGGGTCTCACAAAAAATCGGTATCATGAATAAAGATATAACAAATGTTTTACTGAGTAATTCTAAATTCTAGATGACATCCCTTTCTAGATTCAATATGTGTAAAAATAACTGTCTTTATAAGCTGAAGTACAGTGTTTTCAGAGTGCATGTAGGTGCTACCTGGAATTCAGAAAAAGGGATGTAGTATGCAGTACCAGAATGTGGTATTTATTTCGATTGCTTAAGTCATTTAGTACATGTTAGATTTTGTCATTTGTACTTAACTGCCCTTCTTTTTTCTCACCTATCTTTACTTAGAAGCCAAATCTGTCTCAATCTGTTAGCCTGCTTCTTCATACTGGAATAGAGAACAGTGAAAAAATACCCCATGTAAACATGAATGGAGTGACTACATTTTGTTAAACTCATCTTATGTTCTTTTTAATACATTTACCTCACTTTTACACCAGTCAATATTTACCATTCCTTCTGACTAATTCCTGAGTCCTGACAAAACTCCTAAGACACATGAGGAACTACGGAGGCAGAAGAATTAGGTCTGTAAGGCCCTCAAAATTAGAGAAGCTTATTGTTTCAAGCACCTGAACCAAAATCACGCTAAACCAACGTGATATGGATTTTGACAAAAACAGAACAGTAGGCTAATGCCTGTAATAAGTTTGCACTGGAAGCTTGTAAACTAGCTTAGGAAAAAATCTCTGCATAAAATGTTCCCTGAATCCTTTCTAAC